ACCCCACTCACCTAGCCACCCAGCCCACCCACCTAGCCACCCAACCCACCCACTCAGCCACCCAGCCCGGCCACCCAACCCACCCAGCCCACCCACCTAGCCCACCAGCCCACCCAGCCCACCCACCTAGCCACCCAGCCCACCCACCTAGCCACCCAGCCCACCCACCTAGCCACCCAGCCCACCCACCTAGCCACCCACCACACCCACCTAGCCACCCAACCCACCCAGCCCACCCACCTGGCCACCCAACCCATCCATCCACTCACCCACCCCACCCACGTAGCCACCCAACCCACCCACCCGGCCATCCAGCCCACCCACCCGGCCACCCAACCCACCCATCCACCCTGCCACCCAACCCTCCCACCCAGCCACCCAACCCACCCACGTAGCCACCCAACCCACCTGCCCACCAACTCATCCAACCCACCCCACCCACCAAACCCACCAAACCCACCCCACCCACCAAACCCACCCACCCTGCCACCCAGCCAGCCCACCCACCCTGCCACCCAACCCACCCGCCCTGCCACCCAACCCACCCGGCCACCCAACCCACTCACCCTGCCACCCAACTCTCCCACCCTGCCACCCAACCCACCCACCCAGCCACCCAACCCACCCACCCAGCCACCCAACCCACCCACCCAGCCACCCAACCCACCCAGCCACTCACCCAACCTACCCACCCTGCCACCCAACCCACCCACCTAGCCACCCAACCCACCTACCCTGCCATCCAACCCACCCCACCCTGTCACCCAACCCACCCACCTGGCCACCCACTGGCCACCCACCTGGCCACCCAGCCCACCCACCTGGCCACCCAGCCCACCCACCTGGCCACCCAGCCCACCCACCTAGCCACCCAACCCACCCTGCCACCCACCTAGCCACCCAACCCACCCTGCCACCCACCTAGCCACCCAGCCCACCCACCCTGCCACCCAGCCCACCCACCCCACCCACCTAGCCACCCAGCCCACCCACCTAGCCACCCAGTCCACTCACCCAGTCCACCCACCCCACCCACCTAGCCACCCAGCCCACCCACCCTGCCACCCCACCCACCCAGCCCAGCCACCCAACCCTCCCACCCAGCAACCCAGCCCACCCTGCCACCCACCCACCAAGCCACCCAACCCACCCACCCTGCCACCCAACCCACCCACCTAGCCACCCAACCCACCTGCCCACCCAACTCATCCAATCCAGCCCACCCACCAAACCCACCCCACCCACCAAACCCACCCCACTCACCCAACCCACCCACCCGACCCAATCCTTCCTCCCTTCCACCCAACCCACCCACCTGACCCAACCCTCCCACCCTGCCACCCAGCCCACCCACCCACTCACCCAACCCACCCACTTACCCAACCCACCCACCTAGCCCACCCACCTAGCCACCAAGCCCACCCACCCAGCCCACTCACCCAACCCACCCAAACCACCCAACCCACCCACCCTGCCACCCAACCCACCCACCCGGCCACTCAGCCCACCCACCCGGCCACCCAACCCACCCACCCACCCTGCCACCCAACCCTCCCACCCAGCCACCCAACCCACCCACGTAGCCACCCAACCCACCTGCCCACCAACTCATCCAACCCACTCCACCCACCAAACCCACCAAACCCACCCCACCCACCAAACCCACCCACCCTGCCACCCAGCCAGCCCACCCACCCTGCCACCCAACCCACCCGCCCTGCCACCCAACCCACCCGGCCACCCAACCCACTCACCCTGCCACCCAACTCTCCCACCCTGCCACCCAACCCACCCACCCAGCCACCCAACCCACCCAGCCACCCAACCCACCCACCCCAGCCACCCAACCCACCCAGCCACTCACCCAACCTACCCACCCTGCCACCCAACCCACCCACCTAGCCACCCAACCCACCTACCCTGCCATCCAACCCACCCCACCCTGTCACCCAACCCACCCACCTGGCCACCCAGCCCACCCACCTGGCCACCCAGCCCACCCACCTGGCCACCCAGCCCACCCACCTAGCCACCCAACCCACCCTGCCACCCACCTAGCCACCCAGGCCACCCACCCTGCCACCCAGCCCACCCACCCTGCCACCCAGCCCACCCACCCCACCCACCTAACCACCCAGCCCACCCACCTAGCCACCCAGTCCACTCACCCAGCCCACCCACCCCACCCACCTAGCCACCCAGCCCACCCACCCTGCCACCCCACCCACCCAGCCCAGCCACCCAGCCCAGCCACCCAACCCTCCCACCCAGCAACCCAGCCCACCCTGCCACCCACCCACCAAGCCACCCAACCCACCCACCCTGCCACCCAACCCACCCACCTAGCCACCCAACCCACCTGCCCACCCAACTCATCCAATCCAGCCCACCCACCAAACCCACCCCACCCACCAAACCCACCCCACTCACCCAACCCACCCACCCGACCCAATCCTCCCTCCCTTCCACCCAACCCACCCACCTGACCCAACCCTCCCACCCTGCCACCCAGCCCACCCACCCACTCACCCAACCCACCCACTTACCCAACCCACCCACCTAGCCCACCCACCTAGCCACCAAGCCCACCCACCCAGCCCACTCACCCAACCCACCCAAACCACCCAACCCACCCACCCTGCCACCCAACCCACCCACCCGGCCACCCAGCCCACCCACCCGGCCACCCAACCCACCCACCCACCCTGCCACCCAACCCTCCCACCCAGCCACCCAACCCACCCACGTAGCCACCCAACCCACCTGCCCACCAACTCATCCAACCCACCCCACCCACCAAACCCACCAAACCCACCCCACCCACCAAACCCACCCACCCTGCCACCCAGCCAGCCCACCCACCCTGCCACCCAACCCACCCGCCCTGCCACCCAACCCACCCGGCCACCCAACCCACTCACCCTGCCACCCAACTCTCCCACCCTGCCACCCAACCCACCCACCCAGCCACCCAACCCACCCACCCAGCCACCCAATCCACCCACCCAGCCACCCAACCCAGCCACTCACCCAACCTACCCACCCTGCCACCCAACCCACCCACCTAGCCACCCAACCCACCTACCCTGCCATCCAACCCACCCCACCCTGTCACCCAACCCACCCATCTGGCCACCCAGCCCACCCACCTGGCCACCCATCCCACCCACCTGGCCACCCAGCCCACCCACCTGGCCACCCAGCCCACCCACCTAGCCACCCAACCCACCCTGCCACCCACCTAGCCACCCAGGCCACCCACCCTGCCACCCAGCCCACCCACTCTGCCACCCAGCCCACCCACGTAGCCACCCAACCCACCTGCCCACCAACTCATCCAACCCACCCCACCCACCAAACCCACCAAACCCACCCCACCCACCAAACCCACCCACCCTGCCACCCAGCCAGCCCACCCACCCTGCCACCCAACCCACCCGCCCTGCCACCCAACCCACCCGGCCACCCAACCCACTCACCCTGCCACCCAACTCTCCCACCCTGCCACCCAACCCACCCACCCAGCCACCCAACCCACCCACCCAGCCACCCAACCCACCCACCCAGCCACCCAACCCACCCAGCCACTCACCCAACCTACCCACCCTGCCACCCAACCCACCCACCTAGCCACCCAACCCACCTACCCTGCCATCCAACCCACCCCACCCTGTCACCCAACCCACCCACCTGGCCACCCAGCCCACCCACCTGGCCACCCAGCCCACCCACCTGGCCACCCAGCCCACCCACCTGGCCACCCAGCCCACCCACCTAGCCACCCAACCCACCCTGCCACCCACCTAGCCACCCAGGCCACCCACCCTGCCACCCAGCCCACCCACTCTGCCACCCAGCCCACCCACCCAACCCACCCTGCCACCCAACCCACCCACCCACCCACCCTGCCACCCAACCCACCCACCCACCCTGCCACCCAACCCAACCCACCCACCCTGCCACCCAACCCACCCTGCCACCCAACCCACCCACCCACCCTGCCACCCAACCCACCCACCCAGCCACCCCACAATGTTGGACATTGATTTGGCAAACCAATCCACCAACTCAGCCCATCCACACGTTTCGACGAAACCCATCGATCTCATGAACCCACTAAACCTGTCCACCCGCCTATTACTTCGATCAACGAACTCGCCCCCCAATCCACTCATCCACCACCAACCCCGCGGCCCCTCCCCTCCATCACCCACCCCTCCCTCCCTCTCCCATCGTCACTCGCAGCGGCTCCTCCTACAGCGCCTCGCTGCTGACGACGATGAATATTTTGCATCAGAAAGGGTCGGGGTAGGGGGGCGAGTGGTCGCTCTCTGTAGCTTCCAGCATCAGAAGGAAGTCCACAGTCGCGTAGCCTATATATATACTATCGCCTACCTATATATAGAGGAGGCGGGGTGGCTTTATTGGGAATTAATTGTATACGTATCAATCATTTTGTGGGGTGGGGGGGGTGGAGGGATTTTTCACAACAGCTGTCAAGAAATGGTCAGTTGAAAGAGCAAATGTGTGTTGTGTGTGTGTGCTGCCATGTACTGTAATCGCGAGTAAGGCACACCACGCAGTGAGTGGTGAGCGTGGTTACATGTGTTACGTGTTGCGTGTGCTGCTGGAGGGCGCCCGCTAGAGGGGGAGACGACGACGAGGGTGGTGAGGGTGAAAGGGGAGGGAGCCAGAGGGGGAAGAAGGAGGAGGAGGAGGCAGCAGAGAGAGAGAGGGGCGATGGCGAGGAGGAGGAGGAGGACTCCATCTTTAGCGCCGATGCTTGTCGTACACGTGCGTGTCCAGTGAACGTGGCGGCGGCGACACGCGCCTACCCCCCCCACCACCACCACCAGCCACAGACTCGATCAGCAAGCGGCAAGGCGGGTTTAGAAGAGACAACAGCGATGGGTTCGAAGCCTCTTTAAGTGTTGACCGTCGTTAATTAGAAGGGAGGGAGGGAGGGAGGGGGGGTGGGGGAGGTAGTAGCAGCGGCGGCATCGGTGCTAATTGCGGCCAGCGTCTTGTGTGTATCGTGGGGGGCGTTAGGCAGGGAAGCGTGCGGACCTTTTGGATCCAAGAAGGCCTCTAAAGTTTATCATTTTTCGCTGTGGGGGGGGGGGGGGCAGCGGTGTTAGGTTCGTCGTTGTTGGCGCGGTTATTCTTTTTTTAGTAGTTTTTGTTGACGCGTTAGGTCATTGATGGGGTTTGGTTGATGCGTTGGTAGAGTCGAGTGAGTGAAGGGCGATTCGTCAATTAGTGTTGGTGGTGGGGGGGGAGGTGGGGACAGCTTGAGGCGAAGCCTGAGAAAGTCGTCTTCTTAATGAGATGGAGCAGGTAAGCCGCAGCGATTTGGCGCTTTCGCGATGCCTCGTAACACACAATCGGCCCCTTTTGACGACTTCTATCAACTCGCAGAACGCAAGCTTCCTTCACACTTTTATAAACTAAAAAACGGGGGAAAAAAACGACCGCTTTCGTCGGCAACGATAACGGCTTTTTTTTTACATTTGGAGGTTTATTTTTTAGTGTTTTTATTTAAACAAATGCCGAGAGGCGGTGGCGGCGCGTGCGGCCTAGCAGGCCTCGGAGCCTGTCCGCGTTGTGAGCTTCACCACCACCCCCCACCTACCTACCTACCACGCCGCCTCCCCCTACCCCCCCCCATAGCTTAATTAATCGTAGCTAATTAACCAACATCGTCGTCTTCATCGTCACCGCCATCAACAGGAGGCCGGGAGCCGAGACAAAAGCACGGAGGAGCGCCCGGCCTCCCCTCCCGGCTCGCCGCAGGGCGACACGGCCACGGCCGCCACCACCGCCACCACTACCCCCTCGTCATCTTCAACCCTCAACATCTCCACCATCTCGGCGACGGCTGCCAGCGACGACGACGACGAGGAGGCATCGAATAACAACAACAACGACAACAACAACAGCAACGCGTCAAGGTGAGTGCCGGAGACCCTCCGTCACCACCACCACCCTCACAGCCTCGAACGCAGCGCCACTCGGGGCAGACATCGGGTGCGGAAGCCCCCGGGCTCTCGGCAACTTTTAGTGGCGATTGTTTCTGTTTCTTTCTCTCTCTTCATCGTGTCCACGGTGACCTTGGGAGAAACAACGGGGAGGCATTGGGGCTGTAGCCGCCGCCACGCCCTTGGAAGCGAGAGGGCAGAGACGAGAGCGAGAGAGACGAGACGAGAGGGGCATGGGATGGTTTTTTTCGCTCTCCTCTCTGCGGTGGTGCCGATGGCCACGCTGCCACCCAACCCACGGGGTGAAATGTTCCCGTCGTGGTTTTGCCAAGTGGACGGTGCTCGGGCAGGAGGGGAGAGAGAGAATGGGGGGGACCCCCTTTTGTTACTGCAATGCACCATTTTGTAACAAAATGGACGACCCCCACCACCACCACCGCCGCCGCCACCACCGACCCAAAGGGACCGTCACCAGCCCGGGGTGGCCGGGGGTCACCCTCGGGCTCGGCCCGGGGTCACTCTCGGGCTCGGCCCGGTCGACGCCGCCGCTGTTGACGCCGTAGATGAAGCTCGTCCCGAGGCCCCTCGCTGCAGCCCCCCCTTGAATAGGGGGGGGGGGCCGAGGAGGTTTGTTTTGAAAATGGCAAAAGTTGGCTGAATTAATTTATTGTTTTTGTTGTCGTACGGGGTGGTTGGTGGGGGGCAGAGCACGAGTTTGGTCGGGAGTCGGTGGCTGCCTTTCGTTTTTTGAGAACAATTCTGGGTGACGATTTTCCACCGCCATCCACTTTATTTTTAACAGCCCCCCCTCGCCTCTCTCACCTGGGTTTTTTTGTTGCTTTTGAGGTGCGGTTGGGATTGGTTTTGCGTTTGGTTGCTTTTAAGCGAATGTTGTGATGGGGGTGGCTGCTATTTTCAGGGGAGATGGGCGGTGGGGGGGTTACCCCTTTCTCGGTGCTTGCGTTTGAAGCCGAATTAGGTCCCTCGTTTGTTGGATTTTATTTTAGATGTAGTCATTTTGTTTCGACGTTTCTAGCCACAGGCCGGGTTCGGCTGCAGCACAACCGCGTAGGTGCTGTCACGGATGTGGAGCGACGTCTTTCCTCGTCACTTTTACTCCTTTAGACCGTGAAAGTCAACTTTTTTAAGCCACAGCCCCTGGGATTAAAGTTTGGATTGCAATTCTCATCCAACCACCGGTGACATTAGCCCGTGGTGACTGCGGCGTAACCTGCTCACCCTTTCCTCATCGGGCACCGTGTCTTCGAAACGTCGGGCAAGCGTTATTGTTCCCGGAATGTGTTTCCACATCGTACGCCCGTTACCTGCCTCTCAACTTTGGAACTTTCCATATCGCTGTTTGGTCTCTGTGCCACAGGTGGGGGGGGTGGTAGCTGCTATGTGCGGGTGGTCGACCCTGAACAAGGTCCCCTTTTTTAGTTATAGATATCCTCGGCTCATGAAAGCGGGCAGGCGGGTGGGGGCCCACAACTTCGGTGGGGTCAGTGAAGGCCTTTCCATCGCTTCGCTGTCAATTATGGCCTCAAGATTGCCCCTTCCACCACCAGGGTGGAGTTGACGGAGGAGATTGGCTCAAAGGCTTTCTCGTGTTTAGGTCGCAGTTTGCGGTTTTGTAACTTAGAGTTTTGGTGTACAAGAACTTTAGCGTCTATAGTTTGAGGTTTTTGTGGGTTTTTTTTCACCCCAACACATTTACTTCCCAGGGACCGAACCAATGACACTGTAGGGCATGTTGAGGAAGCCACTCCAAAAGGACATTTCAACTGAAAGTGTTCGGTTTATGTTTTTGGATCGAAGGGGATTACCGTGCAAACATTCCAGCCATACTATTACACACTTTAGACGTTTTGATACTCTTTTTTTACAACGTTGTTGGATTTTTCCACGATGGATATGAAAGGCATGTATAGTACACAAGTGGATACTTTGTTTAATCTCAGATTTGCTGATCTACAGTAGTCGATTGGCGATCTTTACGAAGAAGACTTCAAGTTCAAGGTAAACATGGAATTCAACAAGGACTGGACATGTCAACGATTAATTATGTATTCCAGTGGAAAACAATGTTGGACATTGACTTAAATCATGAATAGCAACAACACATTTACCTAAAATGGGAAGGACTTAATCGGTGCATATTAACGTGCTTTTGAGATGGATCGGATGGAGAATTTAAAGTGAGGCACCTATTAATTGGACAAACCAATTACTACGTGGTTGCTGTAAGGTTAGAAAAGTGGGGTTTAGGCAAGGGTACACGTCGTTACAAGAACAGATAATGATGGATGAGGCTCTGTTGGTGGAATGGCAGCTTGGGTAGGGGTCATGGCTGAAAGGACGGCCACGTGGATCGCGTTCGTTTGTGGCGGGGGTGGATTTTGGTGGCATCGCAGGATTGGGGGTGGAGGTCACGACTATGGAGGTCTTCATTCAGCAGTGGATTGACAGTGGATGATGATGATGATGCAAAACATCCTTCCTAGGCTTAGTACAATAAAGCAGAAGTGGATGTGACCATACACACGTCTATGGCGATTTGACTCCACAAATAAGTGACGCATCATTTTGACGTTGATGTTGTTTGCTTCTTGAACCTTCTTGGGGGGGGGCGGGGTCTGAATGCGAGTGCTTACCGCAAGACGACGACGCCGCAACATTTATTTTAGTTACCCATAATCCACCGGGATTGGTGTCACACACACATCCTGTTGCCTAACCAGGCTGGCAGAAACGGCTTGCGAGAAGTGTGGTGGTGGTGTGTGGTTTGCAGTGAATTCTATCACGATGTTCTCACACGATTCCATAGGTCGACATCCATTTGCCCCCTCCCTACTCGGGGTCCCAGTCGTTGTTATGCTACGCTGTACTTTATACTCTGGGTGTAAAGGCTTCTTCTTCACACGGCGGATAGGCTGTCACGGGGCCAGTACCAGCCCCTTTGTAGGTTCACCTCGCCCACGTTGGGCAGCAGAAGCCGTGAGTGAGGAGTGATGTTGCTGCTGCTGCTGCAAGGGGTTGCAGCAGCGGTGATGCGTAGGCAATGCGGTAGTGGGGGGGGGAATGCTGCGGGAGTCGTGGGCGGGCGGAGGCCGAGGTGGTGGTGGTGGGGGGGTGATGTGGTGGTGGGGGGATGTTGATGTTGGTGGTGGGGGGGTGTTGATGTTGGTGGTGGCAACCTTCGGGGCTGAGGTTGCGTCTCTCCCCCATGTATGTTTGTTATCCCCTTGGCCAGGGATGACATCTTGGGGGGGGGGGGGGGGGGGGCGGGGAAGCATCCACCTGCGTTTATTTAACGTCTCGAAAAATGGGCGGCTTAAGATCGGAAGGCGTTCTGCCTCCCCGTCGCCACAGCAAAAGAAGAAACAGCGGGCGACGTGGGAGGGAGAGGAGGGGAGGAGGAGGGTGTGGATGTGGGTGACAGCGGCGATGCGTCCGAGTTGATCAGCGGGGATATCGTGAATAGATGATTGTGACTCGCTTGCATTACCCCTTTCTGTTGCAAGGTGCGTTATTCCCACCCCAATATTTTTAACGGTGCTATCCACAAAGGCTCAGACGGGCTCGCAACAACTGAGAATCCGCCGTCCCGTGTGTGTGTGTGAGAGGAGTATGTGTGTATGTGTATTGGTGGTTGTTTCAGCAGCTACCCCCCACCCCCCCCCCGGTGTGGGTCTGTGAACGTGGCACTCGCCGACTTGCTACGCCGTAGAGTTACGCGATGCCAGGAAGTCGTCGCTGTTTGGGGCCACGACAGTGGTTGTGGTGGTGGGGGACAGATACAAAAACATGTGCCGAGTTTGGATGCTTTCATTGTCGGCGTTGTTCGTAATGCTCGCAACCGTTGCGTGCTTGGCACAAGTGAGAAAAAGGGTGATGATTTTTGTTGTTTTTGCAAGCCGGTTGCTTGGGGACGACGCAGCTCTTAATCTCGCTCGAGTTTCTACATCCGGTGCGAGCTATTGGGTGTGCGGTGTGAGGGTGCCCGTGGATGGCTTGCTTACTACCCCCCAGCTGCCACACGGGTTCTCGCGCTTTGCCAGAAGATGTTCTCGGTCTGTCGCTCGCCCCGGCGTGCCCAGCAACCTTGCGCTGCTTGGGGTTTCGTTCCCCCTCGTAGATCTCCAGTGTACAGTGCGCACGTGGGCCGTGCTGTGTACAGTGCGCACGTGGGTCTTGCTGTGTGTACAGTGCGCTCGAGGTTTGTGCTGTGTACAGTGCGCCCGGGGCCTGTACTGTGTGTACAGTGCACGCGTGGGCCGTGCTGTGTGTACAGTGCACTCTGGGTTTGTGCTGTGTACAGTGCGCACGTGGGTCTTGCTGCGTACAGTGCACCCGGGTGCTGTGCTGTGTACAGTGCTCACAGGAGGGCCTGTACAGTGTGCAGTGCAAGCGTTCTGTGCAGTGTGCTGTACAGTGCAAGCTCTGTACAGTGCAAGGGCTCTGTACAGTACAAGGGTTTTGTGCAGTGAGCTGTACAGTGCAAGGGCTCTGTACAGTGTGCAGTGCAAGGGCTCTGTGTGCTGTACAGTGCACGAGTTTTGTACAGTGCAATGCCTCTGCAGTGTGCTGTACAGTGCACGGGCTCTGTACAGTGTGTACAGTGAAAGGGCTCTGTGCAGTGCACTGTACAGTGCACGGGCTCTGTACAGTGCAAGGCCTCTGCAGTGTGCTGTACAGTGCAAGGCCTGTGTGTGCTGTACAGTGCAATGCCTCTGCAGTGTGCTGTACAGTGCACGGGCTCTGTACAGTGCAAGGCCTCTGTGCAGTGTGCTGTACAGTGCAAGGCCTCTGTGCAGTGTGCTGTACAGTGCAAGGCCTCTGTGCAGTGCGCTGTACAGTGCAAGGCCCTGTGCAGTGCGCTGTACAGTGCAAGGCCTCTGTACAGTGCAAGGCCTCTGTGCAGTGTGCTGTACAGTGCAAGGGCTCTGTGCAGTGCGCTGTACAGTTTGCAC